ATTATTTCATTTCCCGCTTCTTTAGTCATTCTTTCCCGCTTAAAAACTGTTTTTCCCCCCTAAAGTTTGATTTGATTTTTTTTGCAGGTATTTGAATTGTTTTTATTCCATGCATGCACGTTTTCAGTTTTTTTGGGATTTGGATTTCATTTGTATATATATATATATATATAAAAGATTTTGTTTGACTAAGCTCACCTATCTACAAATCACATTTTCATATGTCTACCGATCTGCTTTTTATTTCCTGTTTTTTTAATAATCAAGCCGAGTTTAAATTATGGTATCATCCATCAAATGAGTAATTGTTTAAGATAATTAGCCGTGAAAAAAGGAAATGGGTTTGTAATTTATTTGGTTAAATTCAGTTTTTGAGTTCATTCTTCTCTTATGAACACGTTTCTGCGGACGGATGTTGCGGTATTGCAGGAGAAGATGATTTAGATATATACAAATCCATTATCATGAAAACCTTCTTTTTTTATTAATCTTTTTACACGTGACAATTATTTTGTTAAACTTTTTACACTAATCATGATAACAATTTTTTAAATGGGAATGCTATAATAAAAAATAAAAATACAAAATTTAATCTTTATTGAAAAATTAATTTATAAGTTTTTATATACATATATATAAATCGCATATTTCAATAGAAAAATATTGTTTTTTTAACATATAGTTATGCAATATATACAACTTAAATAATAATTAAAAAAAACAAATACATTGTAAAGAGTTCATTTCAAAGTTATACAGATAAAGTAATCAAATTGGTCGAGACTAATGATAAAGGTATATATTCCATATTATGTTTTCATCGATTTATTATCTTTAAAAATACAATTATGCTGGATATATTATCCATATAAATATAATAAATCTACCCTAAAAACGATGAAGTCCACTTCGCGATAACTAAACTTAATTATTTGGAATGTACATCTTTTTATATACATATAAATAAAAAGCCAACGGTTCACCATTATACAAATTATATAGAGATCTTTTTACTTATGTTTATTGTTTTTCACTCCACACGTATAAACTTAATTTAATCTAAAACTCTTTTTATTAAAAAGAGGTAAAATAACATTTGGTTTCCCACCTAAACTATTTGAGTAATATTTTTTGTCAAAATTTGAAAAAATCCTGCCTAAATTAATGTACATAATCATTTTGGTTAGATATTGCGGCTATTGCATTTATTAGTTGCATGATTTAAATTTGAAATATAATATATTGACAAAACTTGCAGCTATTACCTTTATTAGTTACATGGTTTAAATTTAGTATATAATATATTACAAAAAAATAAAAAGATTTTTATTTAAATTTAAAAATAAAAAATAATTATTCATAACTTACGGGTCAATATTTACTTGGACGTAAACGAAATAGTCAATTATATAACTTACGGGTCAATATTAACTTGGACGTAAACGAAATAGTCAATTATTTATAATTTAATAAATTACTCAACTACTTAATTTTTTTATTTTAATTGTTTATACAATAATAAATTATTTGAAGTAATGAATAATATAAATTTTATATTTATACTTAATTATTCACATAGACTGTTAAATATATGATAACATTTTACCAAAATAAATATTTTATGGAATCACATATAGTCAAATTGATTTTCTGAATCAAAATTTTGAAATGGTACTTATTTTGAAACGAATATAATGTAATTTATTATCAGTTATGTGCACCACACGGGTTGTATACTAATTTTAAATAGACATTTTTATGTAATTTTGCACAATTTAAACTTTATATAACACTTTCAATAAATTAATATAAGTAAATTGTATTACGTATTGATTCCATATTTTAAATTTATAAATATTATTTAATAAGAATTTTTTTTTTTGGTAAAATTTAATAAGAATTTTTAACTATAAATATTAATAAATATCTCTTACCCGTGCACTGCACGGGACTCATACTAGTATACAGTAAATGTTAATAGAAAAAACGCGACATTAAATATAATCTTGAATTTTTGAAATCATTAATTTTGTCTTTAATCTCATTTAGATATAAAATCCCATTTTATTTGTTACATATTTGTCTTTAATTTCAGTTAGATATAAAATCACATTTTATTTGTTATATATATTTTGTTTGCATTAATATCGATTTGTCCATTTAAATATAAAATCCATTATATTTGTCATATATTTGTCTTTAGTTTCAGTTAGATTTAAAATCACATTTTATTTATTATATATGTTTCGTTTGCATTAATATCGATTTGTATTTTTAAAATTGATAAATCAAGTGCGCAAAGCGTGGAATTGTTAAGCTGTAATTTGTACTCAAATTTTCAGGGACATCATAGTTATCACACATTTAAATATTTATTTTTTGTATACTACATAAATCTTTTTTGAAAACAGTTAGCGTGAATCTATTACTATATAATACGGAGAAGAAAAATTATTTGAACAATCCGAAAATAATCATTTCGTTTTCCCGCTTCAATATAGTGTTTTTCCCGCTTCTTCAATTCGTAAATTTTTTTTTTGAATTTTTTCAGCCCATGCAATTAGGTAACCAATCAAATCGAATCTTTTAGCATTCAATTTGGTAAGATGTTCCGATTTTAGCATTCAAATCCGATTTCACTTCCTTTTTTATGCCAATCAATCCGATTTTTTTGGTTGTTTCAAATTTGTTTAGATTTATATTTTTATTTTATTAATATATTTGAAAGAGAATCAATAAATATTTATCATAACTTTTATTTTAAAAATAAATTTGAATAAGCATACCTTTTATTTTATATGAAATTCAAAATTACATATTTTAATATATTAATAAACGTTTATTATTTATTTTTTCCTTATGTGATATAATAGAATTTCGGTATTAAATTTGTAAATTCAAACATTTAAAGGAAAAGATTCCAAACAATTTTTTTGGGTAAATTTCATTTTATCTTGGTTTTCATTATCACATTTCTAACAAACTAATTAGTATTATATTTTTTTATCTACATTATCTAACCGATTTTTTATGATACTATTAATATAATATCTTAACAAATTAATCATTTGTCTAACCGGATTTATTTCTCTAACAAACTTGCCAATTTTTTTAAAATTAAAATGGTATGATTATTCTTATGGAGATACTTATCAATATATTAAATATTTAGAAACTTTTTTTAAAAAATGAGTTATCCCTCCTTTTACTTTATTTGAAATTCTGACTTATATTTTTAAATATATTATTATTTATTTTTTTACATGTAAATATTTATTATTTATTATCTAAGTGATAAATATTATTGATTTATCTCTTTAATAAATATTTATTATTTATTTTTTTCCTTACGTGATATAATGAAAATTTGGTTACTAGATTTTTAAATTCAAACATTTAGGACAAAACCACGAACAAATTTTTTGGTTACATTTCATTTTATTTTAACTTCCATATAATCACAATCCTAACGAACTAATTAGTATAATATTTTTTTACCCATTTTTATATAATCGAATTTCTTAAAATATAATTAATATAACATTTTAACTATTTAATCATTTGTATAACTTGATTTAACTCATTATCAAACTTGCCAAATTTTTTTTTGAAATTAAAAAAAATTTGGAATATTTTTATTTGTAAAATAATAAAAAATAGCTTTACTTTAAAGTCTGGATTATTTTCATTATTTTTTGTACGTTAACAATCATATATTTTGAATTATTGATTTAAAAAAACAAATCAAAACCGTAAGGTTTAATAATATTCCTTAAATAAAAAATATTGTATAAAGAAAAGTATTTAATATTATATATTTTTCATTGATTGTATTTATTTTATTTTCATAATAGAAGAGATGTGAAAAATAGAAATAATTATATTTAAAATAAAGTCTAAAAAATGTTTAAAATATGAACTCTTCCGTGCATCGCACGGGATATACACTAGTTATGTCTTTATTTAGGCTTATATTTTAGATACTTTTAAATTTAGATAATTTTTTACACATGCTATCTGTATATATCTACCTATAATATACACATATACATATAAAGATGTTAAAATTTAAATATTACTAGACATTTTTTGTTTACAAAATAGTTTTAAAAAATTATAGGTGACTTAACATCTTTCATGCAAATGTGAAAATTTAAATATTTTCAGACATATTTTCTTTACAAAATAGTTCAGAAAAAATTTAGGTGACTTCACATCTTTCAATAATAATATAGAAAATTTTAGATACTTTTTATATAGGTTGTAACAATATTTTAGGTATTTTTAATACTTTAAACATACATTTTTTATGTTCTTTTATACAAGATAATTATATATTGTTTGCAATAAACTAATATACGATAAATTATATCACATATTAACCCCACAATTTTTTTTTATAATTATTATTTAATATTACTTAACCACATCTTAATTTATAATTATTAGTTAATATTATTGACTTTATTTTTAATTTATACTTATTATTTAATAGTGTTTACCCGTGTATGGCACGAACTACGCGCTAGTAGATAATAGTAGGGCACAATTTAAAGGGGTGCTTGTTTATGGAATAATTTATTCAAAATGAGTTATTTTGGTTAACCATAATTAATTTTAAAAAAAGTGGTATGGTTAGTTGTTAATGGAATTTTAAGAATGTATTAAAATAATATTTAAAATAAAATAATTAAAATTGATTTGATGTAAAAGTAGGAGATAAATGATTGAAAATGATTGAAAATGATAGGTAGTTAAAATTATGTGAGTGGATGAAAAGTGAATTAAATTTGATGTGATGTGTAAGAATGATTAGTTTGTATAATTTAATTATTATAAATAATATTAAAGATAGTGAAGTTTGGTTAAAGTTGAGTTAGATTTTGAGTATGAATTGAATGGTAATGAAATAATTTATAAACAAGCATGCCTCATAAGTTATATTAAAAGGCTTGATGTGTACACTTTTGGCAATTCAAAAGTTTTAAGATCTCACTCTTCCTTTTGAAAAAGTTAGAGATAATAGGACATAGTTTAATAGAAGTCAAATTGGGGGCTTGGTGTGTAGAAATGACAGCACTTTGGCACATGCTAAGGCCAAAGAATAAAGAGAAAGTTGGAAAAAGTCTGGAGAGATGAGCTCACATCGTTTTCAAAATTATTTTGAAATCATTCACTCCAAATCCATTCCTCCAACTGAAAGCCTCTTTATTGATTAATAGATCTAAGCTTCATCATAACCCCCAGGATTCAACTTCACTAAACAAACCTTTTGCACACAAAGAATTATATACAAATCCAAATTAATGTTATGATCCCAATAATTCCCCTGGATTTCAGAACATCACAATTTCAAGTGAAAAGCAGAGGAATTCCTACCTGGTCTCTTCTGCAGCCCTCTCTATACATTTAATTATTCTCTTATCAGATTGAAACCTAGTCATCGGCCAAGCGAGTTCATCGGTAATTCTTTTCGCATCCTCTCCTTTTCTAGCCGAGCATGTCTAACAGCCTCCTGTATCTGCCGCTCGTGATCTTTCAACATCTGCTCCACTTTAACTGATGGAACTAACAATGGTCCAGAGTAATGGATTTTCTTGCCCTTTGACCCATCACCCACCTGAACATGAGCAAGTCAACTAACAAACAATAGCTACATTACATTTATGCTCCATTTCCATCATGTCCGGCCTATATCAATAAATTGCAAGTTCTAAATGATTAGGTTAAAATTAGCTGTAAGATGATGCATGCCACTTTAGTTAAAACTTTTCTACCTAGGTTAATCTAGGGGATAGTTTTATAATTATTCCATGATTATATATTATAGGCAAAATTGCATATTAATACACCACCTTTCATGTTTTTGCAATTTAATCACCACATTTGATATTTTGCAAATTAATACATCACTTTTACCATTTTTACAAATCGATACATGAATGACGGTTTTGTTAACAAAAATCTAACGAAAATCTGACATGGCATTAAGCCAAGTCATAGCCATGTCAGATTTCTGTTTAAGGGAACCGTCATTCATGTATCGAAATGCAAAAAAGGAAAATGTGGTGTATTAATTGGTAAAATATCAAAGGTGGCGATTAAATTGCAAAAACATAAAAGGTGGTGTATTAATATGCAATTTTGTCTAATATATATAAGGCAGCCTTTGAAAACTTACATGAACAGAGTTATTGCTTGCATTATCTTCTCCATGCTGCCCATTAATCTTCTGGTTTTGCCTCATAGTCGAATTCGATGCCTCCTTGAGAGACCCTGGAAATCTTGAAATAAGCTTTGGTACTTCCTGCCGCGAATAAGATTTCTCACTACTCTCTTCCAACAGCATGTTTCGCCTGGCAGCTACTAAACCAGACATGGTTGGCAAATCGGCCACGGCAAAATTCTTTGGAGCATTTTCTATGTTCTTTCCGGCCTTTGTCCAGGCAGCTCGATTAACCAATGGCCCAGAATGCGAGGCCCGTTTGTGGATAATCCCACGAGAGTCTTCTTGTGGTTCGATTGGAAAACCGGAAGCCACTTCTTCAGGATGAGTGGTGAACATCTCACTCCTGCTCTTTGGGTTCGACTGGCCGTTTCTTTTCTATATTCGAAAGAAAAAAGATATATGAGCAATTACATACAAATTAGCTATTAATGATGTGTTGATATGTACAGTTTAAGTCGTCTCTTTGTTCCATTTCTAATCAGTGGTGATGTTTGTACTTAGTGTTGCATTTTTGGTTACTATTCCGGTCCATCGAATAATATTTCCTAAGCCAGAACACAAAATCTAAATCCTTGCGAGTTTACTTCCATCAGCAAATTTTCTCAGCACCTTGCTTACTGAACAACCAAGGCAGATCTTTACCTTGCCTTTGTGGAAGAGATAAGGATCAGTAAATTAATCGGTGGAACAGAAGAACTTACGACGAAGAATGTCGGATGTAATTCAATTTGTTATTTGGGATCATTGAGTTTGGGTTTGCCTAATTGCAAATACTTGACCATCTTTCGAAAATACAAACAAGTACCCATCTTTAACCTTTGTTTCCATCACACAAATTTCTAATTCAAACAAATACAAACCTTGAGAGGACTAATTTTTTGTATATACCCTATATTATTATCATTATTCATTGCAGAGGAAAGAGAGTTCAGGTTTCCCATGCTTGAGGTCAACACATGATTTTGGCCCATGACAGTTACACTCCCATTCACCAGAATAAGACAAATATGTAACGCATTGTAAATTAGCTACCTGCATTGATGAGATCAATTCAGCATTGGCATCAGGTGCCGGAACTGCTCGAGATCCCGTCGATCCCATCTTTTCGAGCTCATACCTTTGACCTTTGCTTCCAGCCGCCACCTGTCTGCAAATTTCACCCAGTCAAGTGGGACATCAGTGACAATAACTATAAAGGCTCAAACATAACTGTTCTCAGCACCCCAAGCTACAAAATTCGAGAGTACACATTAATAGTTAAATATTCACCTCCTCCTGGCTTCTTCTCGTACTTTTGCGTCGAACTCTTTACTGGGAGGATATCTCGGTAAACTTGACGGATCACAAGGATGCGGCCTTGCCATAAAAAACTGAGAACAACAGAAACAATGTAAGATTTATCTCATTTCGTTTACATTCTCGCGAAAAGGTTAGAACAGAGCATATCTAAATATATGATGCACAAAAATTCCTGTTAATGGTCCAGGGATCAAAATATATTGAATGAGCATGAAGATTCATTTTTTTTATGGTAGGGGTGTTTGCTATTTCTACCGTTTTTTCTTTTCTGTTCAATTTATTTTTTCTTTTTTTCTTTCAGGAAAACTAGTACGAATCCCGTGCATCGTAATAAATATTCATTTTTTTTATAAATTAAAAATTTTCATTAAATAATATGTAATAAAAAACATGAAATTAATATGTAATACAATGTACCTATATTAATTTATTAAAAATATTATATAAAATTTAAATGGTGTAAAATTACATAAAAATTTCTATTTAAAATTAGTACACAACTCGCACATTGTGTACAGGCATTCTTGTTTATAAAATAGTTTTAATTTTAGAGTTTCTATTTATAATTAAGGATAATAAAAATAGTTCTTGTTTATACGGGTTCTAATTTGCAAGTTTGTTTTTTTAAGTTGGGCGTATATATTTTATTTGATATGTAAAATAGGAAATAAGTACATATTTCATTGTAAGTAAAAATTGGAAATAATAAATAGGAGCAATAAATTAGAAAAACTGATTCCGTAAAAGATTAAAAGTGAATCTGTTAAATTTAACATGTTTGTACAATCCTTAAGATAATGACACACTTTTGTTAAAGTAATTACTGAACTTCTTAAATTGGAATGTCAAAAGGCTTTTACGGGAAATTTTTTTTTCTAAAAAGAATAAATACAACAATATAGATTCACATGATTTGAGTAATTAAGGTATCTCAAAAATATTTTTTTTTATAGCTTAATTATTACCTTAAATAATGAGCCGCAATTTCCATAAGTGATTATTTGAAATATACCATAAATTATTAAATTAATTGCCCAAAATAGTAAACATATTTTTTTTGGAGGGAAATAGTTACTATTTAAAAAATAATCAAACTTTTTTATATATATATAGATTTCTTGTCTAAAAATTAGGTGCATATAAGCATTCCCATATATACAATGGATTCTGGTAATAATCATAATCAAAGAGAGCATAATTTAAATCACGAATTCACAAACATTAGAAAGTGTCACCTTTAGATGACAAATATGAGATGTTATCTTGAAAGCACGTATACCTCACTCTTCAAAGCAGAGGCTGCTGACCCACGATTTGCCGGGTCTACGGATAGCAAGATGTCTATGAGTGCTAATACTGGTGAGGGGAAATCTTTAAATGTCTCAGCAACACACCTTGGATAAGGCTGTTGAGGCTTGAAAATTGTTGCATGAGGTAATTTTGACTTTTTCCAGTACTCTTCAGATGGTGATCCACAAAGTTTGAAAATCTTATGCAACTGTTCAACCTATGGGAATTTTTTTATAAAAATTCATCATCATGCTTAAAAAATAAAAATGAAAAGGGAAGAACATGAGTAAGATAAATATGTCAAAATTCTGGTGGCACAGAATAGGAACTTAAAATTCTTGAAACCAGCAAGAAATCTATAAATCAGTGCCGTAAAAAAAGCTAGGCATTTCCCTAGGCAGAAGACTGAGGCCTAGAGCCTAGACAAGATGTTATCGGAAATTAGATGGGATTTATATATGGTACTTGGAAAGATATACTCAAATAAAAAATGTAGACGGTCATTGGGGGGCTCGTGCCTAGGCCGGCTATAATCGCAGCTAGGCGAGGACTACTACAACAGAGCTATAAATAAGAGTAAGCAACCTTTTAATTTAATGATAATACAATGCCTTTCCCCTTGTAGATCATGATGTATGTCTTTTGTGGTGACATATTGAGATATAATAAGGAAGATGACAACAATCAAATTCCCATTCAGACAACCATCTTAATACTTTTTTTTTTTTTTTAATAGAGGAACGGTTCTCTCACCCCAGCATTTGTGAGGCTCCATTTCGACTAAGGTGATTCATCCTTCTGCCTTTCAAGTTTCATAGAAATTACACTTCTTACTTTCTCATTCGAAGATCAATGACATGGCCAAAATTGTTGGTGTAAATTAAAACAAAAAATCGTGAACTCTAAAAATTCTGAAGTTTATGCTACAACGCCTTTTGTTGCACCGGACCAGTTACCCCAGTTGAATAATTGAATTATGCTATTTTTTCAGTTTTCTTCCGACCACCTCACATTCTCTCACACACATGTCATAAACAGCAGACAAATGTCAGTTTTTTCCTCGTCCAGGATCAAAGCAAAACGACATGCACATTAGGCAGTAAAGTGACAAAAGAAAAAGGAAAGAATGAGTCCAATGGCAAAATGCAAAAAACTCCAACTACAAGTAGATTCCATATACTGTGCCCCAAATATAATTTTCAAAAGAGGTCTTCAAGATGCAATTGACTGAAAAAGATACACCAAATGTAGTACCTCTGTTCTTCCAGGCATAATTGGCTTGCCAGCGTATAATTCAGCAAGTATGCAACCAGCACTCCATAAATCCACAGCAGTACTGTAATATGTAGCACCGAGTAGAAGCTCAGGTGGGCGGTACCAAAGAGTAACAACACGGCTGGTTAGTGGTTGAGTCTGATGAGGATCATACAAACTAGCCAGACCAAAATCTGCAATCTTTAGGATGCCATTATTGTCAATTAGAAGGTTGGAGCCTTTTATGTCACGATGAAGGACACCACAGCTATGACAATGATCAAGACCTTGTAAAAGTTGTTTCATGTAACACTTAACCTGAAGGAGTTGAAGACAAGAAAAGGAAAGGCTTTTATAACATCCTCAAGTTAAAGCTCAAAGATAAAAGAGCAATTCAAAGTGGCATCATTAAAGAGATTATAGATAAATGGTCTTACCAGACAATTGCTTGTCAGAGTTACACAGAAAGATACAATATACACCAGATTCTCATTTTTTATCATCCATCACACCCATTTCTAATTTCATTGGAAAACATAGTTCTAAACCAAACGAGCAGGCCAGTTCTAATGGTTGGACCAGAAACTGGTAACCTTAACAATACAGTTCTCATCATAAAAACAACGGTCAATAAATGGTGAGAACAGTCGAACGGTCAAAGAACCAGCAACTGGAGAACATTTCATACTTTTTATATGTTTCATATATTCCTTTATATCTTAATGTCAATTAATATATATTTACATAAATAAAACTAATTATTAAAAATATTTTTACATGTTGATTTCTTTTATCAATTACTTCAGTCATTTATATTATTGTAATTATCAACAAATTTGAGTTGCTAAAGTTTTCGTATTACACAATTACTTATAGTTAGAAATATTTTATAACATTTAAAATATTAGTAAATTATCTTTGGTTCAACCGATGTTCAAACAATGTCGAACATGTGAACCATTGAACGTGTAACTTCTTCAGTTTGTGAACGAACGATCTGGTGTTCAAAACCTTCTTAAAGGAAATATCAATATACATCATTTTTTCAGTCAACCATCATGTCCATTCACTCTTATAAAATAAATAAATCAATAGATATGCATTACTGTATTTTCATCTTATACGAAATGAAATTCATGATTCAGTCATATTGTTCCAAACAGTTTCATAATATTTTCTCCAAATTCAAAAGAAGCATGAAAGGCGAAGATCCTGCTCTTGAAGTAAAAGGGAGAAAAAATGCGAAGATCCTCTCTTGAAGTAAAAGGGAGAAAAAATGTGTGAGCGTGTGTATTTGGTACATAAAACAATACAATTGAACAGCAAAAATACACAAGTTCTAATCAAAGAGTTCATTTGGCTACCTGAGGTTCAGTAAACTTGAGCCCAGGGTGGGATGCAAGTCCAGCCAAGTCATGCTCCATGTACTCGAAAACTAGGTATAAGCTGCATGACATCCGTGATGTCACCAGACCTTCCAATTTGATCACATTTGGATGGTTGAGCCTACGCAAAATATGAATTTCCCTCGCCATAAAACGAACGCTTTCAGGCTCCAGATTATCAAACCTTACTTTCTTCAAAGCAACAATCTTCCCTTCATCGAGATCACGGGCACGATAAACATTACTGTAAGTACCCTGACCAATCTAAGAAATAGAAAAGGGAGAGACGGTCAGAACAGGGAACATAGTAAAATACAAGCTTGTTACTTTTATACGAAATACCCAGTAAACGTATTTCATTGACTCTCTTATATCTATCTATATATGCATATATATATACATATATATGTGTGTGTGTGTGTAAGATAACATAGTGAGAGAACAATAACACAGTGAGAGAACAATATTTATATATATATATATATATATATATATATATAGAGAGAGAGAGAGAGAGAGAGAGAGAGTTTAATTTCGAATAGCATGCTTATGGTAAACAGATCTGGAAAACAAGAACTACCGTGCATCTTATAGGGACGTCATTTATTAACTAAAAGATTACCCTAAACAACCTATATTTTCTATCTGAAATCTGTCCAATGTCAACCGATGCAGGGTTGCAGCGTTCCAATCGCTTGCTTTAAGCATAAATCTATAATAAAGTGACAATTAGGATTCCGATTCGGTCCAAAACCAACAAAGGAGCCTGAAGCTACATAGAACAATATTTGGGTCATATGCTTGAGTTCGGATGTTGTTCTAGCAGAATGACACTCAGCCCTGGGTTTTAGCATAAAAGTAAAATTATGGATGAGAATGGAATTCATTTAGCTTTATTATTTCGACATCTCATTATTCCAACACTTGGCTTGTGCTGTAATCTACCTAGTGGCAGGTAACACCAGATATCTTCCCTAAGCAAGTGGCTCACTACATGATGATAGTATTGCTCTGGAGCATCAAATATACATTAAGTATTAGCTTGGGGCACATATGACGTTTTCCATGATAATGTTCCTATTAAAAATTGTATGCACTCACGGGATTCTAATTATTTAGAACTATTGTCTTCAAACAATTCTTGCAAAATCCTCAAAGGAATTTCATTATCCTCCATTCTTGACAGTGATGAGGCATATATCTCCTGGAAAATAGAGGTGAAAGAGAATGCACCATTCAGGGATTTTTTCCCTAAATATGATCTCATGGATAGAAAATGAAAGCATTGGCAAATGCCAAGATTCCTTAAGGCTTAAGCACACAAATAAGAAAGGATGACTTTCATTCTTAGAAAGGTCTTTCTATCCAAAACCCAGAAAGCAGTTGAAGATAATTACAAGACGGTAACCTTGAAGCGTAGAGAAAAATATTCAAAGAAGCCATGATACATTGGTTGATCCAACGTTAAGTGTAGAGAAAGATATTCAAGGAAGCCCTGATACATAGGTTGATCTAACCATTTTAACTTAAAACACCACATTTTTACTCAACAGGGAAATCCTCTTAAGTTCTTCGAATATTGTTGGTTGATCTAACGTTAAGTGTAGAGAAAGATATTCAAGGAAGCCCTGATACATAGGTTGATCTAACCATTTTAACTTAAAACACCACATTTTTACTCAACAGGGAAATCCTCTAAAGTTCTTCGAATATTGAAGAGTTCAGAACATGCAATAAATTGATCCTGCAAGCAAGACTTGTCCCTAGATTATGGCAAGTTAGGATTGAATTGATGTTCATAGAAGGAGAGCAAAGCCTGGTAAGAAAAGTCTTTAAAAAGCACATTTGGTCGTTTCTTTACATAACAAAATCAATTGGTTGCCTGAAGAAGATAGATAAGGTAGAGAAAATAGAGGTAGGGCTGCAGCAGGTCAAACATAGATATTGAAGCTCAGACCACTTGAGAAAAACCCATGGTGGAGCGAGCTATGGGTACAAGAGGTTCTCTTGATTGAAAAAGTTAAAAACCCCATCCCAACAGACAAGAAAGCAAGAAATAAAGAAAGGAGAAGGGAAAAAGAAAAAGGAAAGAAGGAAAAATAAGGAAAAAAAACCACAAATCCTCATAGCACCAACCAAGAAAGAGAAAACAGGTTAGAAAAATCAATTCTTGCAAATTGAAATGCACCTAAAGTACTAACACTATCCTAAAAGAAGAAAAATTGTAATCCTCTAGATTGAAATGTTAAATATCCCAAAGTCAGAAGCAGGGTTTGGTAGTAAAAGAGAATGGCATGCCAAGCTGACACCAAGTCAAATGGAAAGCCAAATTAATCAAAAGTTTTGAGTCAAAAATAATAAAATTAGGACATTAGTAATTTTGATCATAGAAGTCATTTTGAGAGATTTATGTTTCTGATAGTTATTTTTACAAGGACTTCAGAGAATAATTTAGAGAAGTCCATTATGGAGAAGTGGAAAATGTTGACTTTTGAATTACTCCTCTACCACTGTACAAAATGGCATTAAAATATGCGTCTAACAGATATTTCACATAATATAGAAGAATTTTCTAGAAAAGCCCACACTAAACAGTCCATCATATAAATAGTCTTCTATTTCAAATGTGCTTTCAGGACTGCACTAGATAACAAGGGCTATGAACAAAGAGCTAGTAGGTTTTCATCACATTTATTCAATATCATATTTCAGCTGACGTCTATAACAATGCGAGGATTTTTATTCGGGGGTCCAGTACTAGGCAGGTAACAGATAACAATAAGAATCCCTTGCAAAATAGAACGTGCAACTCTCATTGTTACTACTTGATCACCTATCGAACTTATGATGGTGTGAAAAGTTTATAGTGCAACTTGTGCTTGAGAAAATATAGACCAGTTCGTGCATTTTCAGTTGTCTTGTAAATGAACTGAATCATCTAATAACATAGTATCAGGAGACTATAATTTTTGTGCTAAGGTTCTATGACCTGCAGATCACCGTATCAGATATTAACAGATGACTTTACCTTTCAGCTTCAATTTACACTTACATCAATCTATTGACCTAATCCACCTTTTCTCATGAATGAAAAAAATTCAACACCTCAGACAGATAAAGAAACACAACAGTAGTAACCGAATGAGGCGTAGATTTCTTTCTCATTTAATCATCTCATTCATCTAAGAAAGCGCAAGGCACACCTCAGTAACTGCATATTACGATCAGAAGAATGAAAGAAGTATATACCTTATCCAACTTCTCAAAAGAGTCTGCCCTCCTCGGCAGCCATCCTCTAATAGCTTCGCCAGCCACTGCAGCTAACCAAGGTGGCCATCCAGCGGCAACCTGTTCTCCTTTGTTTGCCTTGGGGACCACACCAGCCCTTGGGTGTTGCAGGACAGAAATATGTTCGGTTTTCTCTCTCTTCCTCTCGAAATTCTCTCCCTGTAATCTGACTGAGCCATTGACCTGCTTATCAATCAGAATCACCCTTCCTCCACTATCTAACCGATTTTTCACCTGATAACTCTCGTCCCTCCTGGCAGATGCAGAGCGTAGGGTCTGCGAATTGGCTATGGCTTTACTCGGCAGCCTCTCCCCTGGGCTCTCCTTACTATCATCAATAGCGTGGGGCTTACCACAAACACAACCCATTGTACTCCAGAGGGCAACTCAATAACCCGTCTCACCAGAATCAGACTTGACTTCCTTTTCTGCAATTTATCAGGAACTATAATTCTTCTTCTTCTTCTTCCATGCCATCACTAGAATTAAAAATTCGCCCATGGAAAAAAAAACCGAAATCAACCCAAGATGACACTTAATCAAAGTGAACGGAAAAATTCCAACTTGCACAACATAAGATGTGTAATACAAATTCACAATTTGTCACCGTTAGCTTTTTTTTTTCTAACAAAAAAAAAATAAAATAAAATAAAAACTGAAATGTCAAATTCAGGAGGCAATTAGAGAGCGGGTACCTGAAAAGAAAGAATGTGGGTGCATGGTGAAAGGCGAGAGCGTTATGATTTGGAATGGGCGGATCTAGGGCACGGATTTCTAAAATGAGNTGCATGTAATTGAATTGAGGTAATGGTTGGGTTGGATTGGTGTATTGTATTTATATATCTGATCTGAGAAAGGGTAGCTTTTAATTACGTTGCAGACTGTAAGAGCTGCCTGTGATTTGTTGTTCCGTTAGAGACATTCTTCATAACTGGTTGCTCCCACAATCCACGCGACCGGATGCGTTACTCTATAAGATTTTTCTTTCATTTTTTTCGTTCATTTTTCTCCTGTGTTCTGACAATTTGACTTGATGATGCATGCAATATCTACATATGTATATCCCCTCTATATATAATTTCAGAATGTGTTGAGCCTACGTGGCAAACTCTCATGCTTCGGAATCTTATTTGGTAAAAAAGCATGCTTTGGAGTTAGGCTTAAATATAAATTAATATTTGTAATTGTATTTTAATATAACCATTGAATTGTAAATATATTTTAAAAGTTGATAACTTTTGTATTTCTTATCGATTTTACATATATAATATATCAAATTAATCATATTTTGATGAGTTTCGATTTAACATCCATATTGTATATATAAAATTAATAAAGTATATTTATCTTTATAATAATAATAAGATTATTTATTAAAATTAATTAGCAAATAAACAATTAATATATTTATGTTTAATGTAGTTATATGTTATAAGGTAGAAAATTTATTATAATTTGACAATTAAATTAAAACCAAAAGTAATATTTTATATAAAGTTAAATTAATTTAATTTTTAAAAAAATAAAAAAATTTAATATTTTTTACAAAATCTTTCTAATTCAACACCCGTGTAATACACGGGTATTGTACTAGTATATATTAAAGCTAAGCAGCAGAAAATTTTCCCCCAAAATTATATTTAATACATTGCAATAAATTTTATTAATTTCTATGTATGATTTATCAATAAAAAAATATTTGTTAAATATAAATAATTAATTTCTCTTCATAATTGTATTGGAATTTGAACTCCAATCTTCCTTGACTAAATAAATGCTTCAATTCCATATACTACCATGAAATAAATTTTGTTAATTTCTATGTATTATTTACCATTCAAACATTTCCATAATTATTTGTTACAAATAAATACTTATTTTAGTCATAATCAATATTATACAAATCCCATTATATATTTTTTTGTCATAATCAATTATTTGTTACAAATAATATTTAATATTATACATAATTATTTATTATGAATTCTCATTCGAATATCTCACTTATTATTTGTCTCTCTTCCCGTTTGTGAGTACGAGTTCTAGTCCTTATGCATTATATTTTTTATAAAAATAAATTATCAATCTTATTTAAGTAATCATTAAATAAATTTTAAAGTAAATTATTTTATTTAAAATCATTTATTATTTTTTATTGGAACATCAAACACAATATTAATTTTTTCAGTTATATTGGGTATATTTCAAGGCATTAGAAAAAGATCATAACTAATATGATATCCACATGTAATATAATAAATAAATAGTTTTATAGTTTTTATTTTGTATCGATATGCATATATATAGATAAACTCTTAGATTTGATATGTCAATTTAAATTCTACGTTGTCTATTTTAACATATACATGTTCAATGTTTACATATAAATATTTAATAGAAGCACCATATCACATTTGAAACACATACTCTATATTGATGGAATTTATGTACACATTAAGAAAATATGTAACAATCTCTTATTAATCTAATATTATATTATTTTATATCTATATGTAATTCTAAGAAATTACAAGTGATCATTAAATTATTTGCATGGAGTACCTCATTCCTAAACAAGATCTATTAATTTAAATTAAAAAATTCTAATCATTCACAAACTCTGATGTGAGCTGAAGTAAGGGTTAGTCAAGTTAACATGTCATTCTTTTTTATCAAAAATACAAACTTAGACCTCCAAATTTCATACTTTTGTTTATTATATTTTATAATATATTTTTTAAATAATAAATATAATAGAAATAGAAAGAGATAAAAAAAATAATGAAGTTATAATGTCATAAATAACATAATTTATTCGACTAAAAGAGATGTATTTTTCAAAAAAAAAAATATCATCTATAATTTTTGGGATGATCCTTCATATCCATATGAAATAGATCTCGAAAATGTTGAATAATTGAGTAAACACTATACAGATTTAAGTTTATTTCACCAATAAAGCATGAATATGAAAGCTATGAAAACAAAAGAAAAAAAAAGACATAATAGAATTCAAAAATGACATGAAATTTGACTGTATTTCATAGATAAATAATATATTAATATTTCAAAGCTGATATTGTAAAAAGAAAAAGAAATCACAAATGATAAACGTACGAACAAAGAGACATGACATCATTTCAAAGTAACTACTCATGGATTTGATTGTGAAGACTGAAAAGAAAAATGCATATATAACGTTCGTTTCTTCAATGATTTTCAACTATATACTAGGTTGTTTCATGTTAGTGCTTGGTATTTTTTTTATTTTTAGTTGGTATAATTTGTTTGGTTTTGAAAATCTTGAAGAATCCACTTAAACATATGTGCATAAAGTTTTTGCCTTCATTAATTTTTTTAATTGGTCTATAATTATACAACTATAATTTCTGAAGGCATAGTACGGGTTAATTTAATTATTGTTAATGTTGTATTTCTATAATGTATTATCTTTATCGAAACATTGCGACATATAAAGTTCTAAAACTTACTATAAATGCAACAACTATTTTTTCTTCATCATACATCACAATTATTAGTTTTACTTTTCATTGTTGTAGACTTATATATTATTATTAAATATTTTATTATTTATAATTGAAAATAATTTTGTATTTCTGAATAATAAGTTAATTAAAATTATCTTAAATTTTATCCAAAATAAGTTTTAGCTATTGACCTAATATTGACGGCGATCATCTTGATTATTTTCTTAATATAATATTATAAAAATAAAAATACAACGTTAAAGAATATAATAAAAAATAATTCGATATGTATTGACATAAACTTTTATTTTGTACAATGAGATGAACATTTATTTTCATAGTTTGTATACAATATAAAAATAATAGATTTAGTGTTCGGAGCATCTATTTTAGTCTCATTTATGGATAAGCAATATAAGAATATTGCGAAATGATAGTGGAAAATGAAAAAAAATAATTAGAAAATGATAACATAAAGAGTGAGAGGTCTCAACAACAATAAGAGAGTTGAAAAAAAGTAATAATATAGTTTTGACTCGGAAGACGAAATTATCATGTTGATTGAATAATTTTATCCGATAATTATTTGTTTCATTTATTTCATTTGAGCTTAAATTTGAAGTGATGTAAAAGTTGGTGAAAAGTGATAGCCTTTAATTTTTTTAATAAATACACAATTATGCAGTTAAAACTTTTATAAATAAAAATAGCATAATGGTCAATTATCGTTTGACTTTTGTTCATAAACATACTTTTTTTTTTTTCATAAGAGAATGATGAGATTACATTATTGCAACTGAATGTTGTAGTAGATAAAGTTAAACACAACTTATTATAATGCATCAACTACTTTTCCCTTATCATATATCATAATGTTAATTTCACAACAGTGTGTTTTATTTCTTTTAGGTTTTAGATAATATAATTTAAATATATTTTTCGTATTACTTTACAAAAAGTTTGTCAATGTGCATTTCTAAAACCAACATTAAATTACAATTCTCACCGATTTCATGCAATAATAACTAATAAGTACTTTAATATTACATTGAATTACAATTATCATGAATTTCATGCAAACAAAAAAAAAAGTATTTTAATAAAGGCTTAATTGCAAATAAAACCATGACCTTTTCGAAATTGGCAATTTAATGCACCACTTTTAAAGTTGGCAAATCTATACATCACTTTTATAATTTTTTGCAATCGTATGCATCGGGCCAAAAATCGGGCTTCCCTTGCTGACATGGCTTGAACATTTCATACGTGTAAATACTTGTTACATTAACTTTAAAAACCGATTCCACGTGGCAACAATCTATATAAAATCCAAAAATCTCATTTGAGATCGTCGATCTCTCCAAAATTTTCCCCAAATTTTCTCAAACCCTAAATTTCGCCCCGCATACTACTCTACAAGATTCGACCGGAAAGCATGTCTTCATCGACATCTCAAAGCTCTCGCCCATATGTTTCATCTCATTCAAGTCAAAAAACTTGTGAGCATGTGAAGCTGGTGTTAACGTCAATGACTCAAGAAAATCCGGCAAGGAGGTTCAGTCGGTGTGAAAGGAAGGTGAGCCATTTTAACGAGGTCATTTTATTATGATTTTCATGTCTGTGGTCATTTTGAGTGTCTTGCATTTTTTTTTCCTGTATTTGTAGGGCATTGACTGCGATTATTTTGAATGGATCGATCCAAGTCTTCCTCCATTTCAGAAAGGTTGCTTTTTGAACTTATTGAGTCAGAAAAAGAGTTTGGAAGAACAATTAAGGTGCGAAAAGGTTATGGAAAAATTGATGTTATGTTTTTAGATGAAAATAGGTTTTTGGAAAAAATTGATGCTCATTTCGATTGTTATTGATGATGCTCCATTTTATTGTTATGTGCTAAGGTGCAAAGATGTTATGGAAAAACTCATGACAGAAAGAATGGCGATCAAGGTTTCAGAGCTTGATAAGGTGCAGGATCTCCATCAGCAAACTCAATCTATGTTGGAGCTGCAGACTTTGAAGTGTCAAAAAATAGAGAAAAAACTGAAGATTGCAAAGGATCAAGTGACCAAGCTCCACAGAATGTTCAAGCTGGCAGCAATTTGGATTATAGCACTCATAACAATAATACTGATATTAGTTTACTCAAAAAGAGACAATCATTCTAAAGGATACACTGAGTTGGGACGGCTGAACTTTGTAGGGTAGTTGATCGATTTGTAGGATATGTGCTTTCTGATGTGTTGGTGATGAGTAGGTGATGTGTTTGTGGTAGTGTAGTTGATCATTCTAGTGGTATGATGAAGGGTTGTTATGAACAAAATGGATCAATGTGATTATGTTTTGAGGCTTATGGTAATGAAATGAAATTATGAATGTTTTTATCACTGTGGTGCGCTTTAACTATCGGTGTCTGTTTTTCCAAGTGCTTTTCATCATTGGTCTGATGTTTGGTGAAGACAAAAGAAAGTAGATAATGTGTTGTTTTGTTCATTTTTATACACTAAACAAAGCAATATAAAGACCTAAAGCTACTGATCTGATCATCAACCATCAAATACAGATCACATACATAGCATCATTGTAACCAAAACGTAATAAGCCACTGCATAGAAGTAGAAAAACAACTGATTACCAAAAGTATCCTTTTCCCTAAATCATCATAACCAAAGCAAAAGGTAGTTCACCATTACATCAGACTATAATTCATAACAAAACAACTGATTGCCATATTTTCATCCTCTATTGACTAAATTGTCCAATTCATCATAAAAGTAGCAAAACAAAGTGACTACCCATCATAAAAAACAAAGTAGCAAAACAAAGTAGCAATGATAGTGACACTATGAGGCTTCTGCCACACTTTCTTGAGTCCCAATATTTTCAGCTCCTTGACTGTTATCTCCACTTCTTTTGCCTTTATTTTTGGTACTCAGAGTTGATTTTCTTGAGGGTATAAAGTGAATACCCTTTCCAGCCGACATCTGAACATTGAAATCACAAGAAGTTCAAAGTGAATATCCTCTTTTAAATGGACAGATGAAAGAATTATACCATGTTTAAACTCACTTACCCGCATATATATGTTTCCAGTTTCTTCAGACTGCAATATTCCCACACCCTTCATAGCCTGTAAAAATCATAAAATATAACTATATGCTTTGTGTAGGATAAAACACTAAAACACAAAGGTTAGCATCTCACCATGGCTCGTTCCTTGTGAATGGCTGTCCTACTAGATTGCTTCTTCTTGGATCTTGTTGAAGTCTTTCTACTGATCCTACTTGATCCACCTCCATCTGGTTCACATATAGTGCTACTTGACACACCTCCAACTGGTTCAATGACAGGTCCTGCTGGTACCTTCCTTGGCCTTCCCCTCTTGTTCTAGTTAGAAGTAACAAAATGTAAGAAAAATGATTAAAAATAAATAAAAAAATAAAAAACAGGACTAAACTAATGATCACATACTAACCTTTGGTGGTTTTGGTACAGGGTCTTTCATACAAGTTTTTTTATTGTGTCCCTTCCCTTGGCACCTCTGGCATGTCATCTGTAAGCCAAACCTTTTAAGCTTTGAGGCAGTTTTTCTTTCTTCCTCTGGTGCTCTTCTCCTCTTCTTCTTAGGCCTGCCTGGCATTTTCTTAAAAGGGGGTGGTTTCACTGGATAGCCATCAGCAATTGGCCACATATTTTTTCCATTCAATGGCTCAAGGGAGCAGCTGTACATATTAATGTACCTCTCAAGGCTGAAGTATCCATCCACAAAGTCAGCTGGGTCTTTATGCAAGAAGTGAATAGCAGAGCAAGCATGGATGCAAGGAATCCCACAAAGGTCCCATGTCCTACAAGAGCATGTGTTGGTCCTGAGGTCTACCACATACTGCTCATCATCAATGCTAACTTGAAACCTATCTCCAACAGCTGGTTGGGTAGTGCACAACCTTGACATGAACTTGTTCTTTTCTACCTTTTCTCTAATCCTGGGACATATGGAGTCAGTTATTCCACTAGCTTGTAAAAGCTTTCCATGTTGCCTTGTCATTAGTTCAGTCCTAATACCCTCAAGCATATCTATGATGTGTTTGCTTCTGAACTTCACAATGTAGCCATTAAAAGTCTCACTGACATTGTTTTCAATCATATCACATCTTGGCATGGTAGATATGAATGCTTTGCAGAATCTTTTAGGGTCTCTTGAGATAAAATCCTCATATGCTTCAGGTTCTTCAATTTTCAGGTTCTCAAGTGCTAAATTATATGCTGGCACATTAGGACTCAACACTATTTTCCAAAACATTGACTTAAGTTCTTGGCCCTTGAACTTTTTTTTCCAATTCATGTAGACATGCCTTGCACAATTTCTGTGCTCGGCATATGGAGTTAGCATTTCCACAGCATTCATCAGTCCCTGCCAATGTAAGTTCACATGCATTAATACAAAACACAAATGTTTTAAAACTAAATATGGGGTAAAGTGTAGATAACATTTAAGATTACTTGCTATTTACCTTTTGTTGGTCACTCACAAGTGTATATCCCAGACCATCAGAAATTCCCAGATCATTAAATAAGATACTGAGAAACCATGTCCAGCATTCTTCATTCTCTGACTCAACTACAGCCCAAGCAACTGGGTATATCTGGTTGTTCCCATCTTTGGCTGTTGCACATAACATAGCTCCCCCCAAAAATGTCTTAAGAAAGCACCCATCAAGACCCAAGACAGGCCTACAACCATGAATGAACCCTTTCTTGAGTGCACTGAAGCCAATGTAAAGTCTCTTAAACTGTGTGTCCTCTCCAACAAGTAACTCAAATCTACCCTCCTTGTCTACTCTCATTAGTTCTAACATATAACTTCTGACAAAAGTATAATGTTCCACAACTGTTCCTCTCAGCATCTCTAGGGCTTTCCACTTACCTCTGTACAACTTCCACTTTGATGGGTGAACAGCAAAGTTTCTCAGAATATCATCAGATAGTTGGCTAATAGTGAAATTGGGATTCTTCCTAAATGTATGCAGGTATTCCTCTGCAATCCACTCAGCACTTGCTTGTTTGGTGTAAATGTCCCTATGACATTTATGCTCTTCAACAATGGACTTTATGGCAACACTTCCTTCACCTGGAATTACACTGGCATACAATCTCCATGGGCATCCATCCACACACTTGACTTCTAGCAGTTTCTTGTTGCTCCTCATATTTTGAGTATTTCTCCCATTCAAAATTGCAACTTTTCTTACTGCCTTTTTGCACTGAACAATTGACTCAAACCTCATACCAACCTGCAACACAAGTGTTTTGTGATCACAGGCAGGATCATACACAGTTCTGATTTTTTTTCTCCTCGGCCTATTCTCTGCGATTTCATCCTCTTCACTGCTGCTTGAATCAGTCATAACTGCACATTGGTCATCACTAAAATTATCCATATCAGCTTCATCACCTGCTTGAAGTCCACTGCTTGTAAATTGGTTGAGCCTACTTTCTGATATACCATCATGAGGTGGACTCTTCTTATACTTTTTTATGTTTTTTCTTGCTTCAATGTACTCATCATCTTCAGATGCAATGGCTTCATCACTAAGGTCATCCTCAGAAGAGCTTTCACCTTGTGGCATGTAATCTTCATCTTCACTTTCTTCATCTGCACCTTCTTCACATGTTGCACCTTCTTCACCTGGCATGTAATTATCAATGTAGTGCTCAAGTTCATCAACCTCATCATGTACTTCTGATGCTGCCCCTCTACCCTCAATGTTCTGTTCAAAAAACTCATCATGTGCCTCTGATGCTGCCCCCTACCTCTACCCTCAATGTTTTCTTCACCAAGATCATCATGTACTTCTGCTTCTGCCCCTTTGCCCTCAATGTTTTCTTCACCAAGCTCATCAAGTACCTCTGAGGCCCCTCTACCCTCACAATTCTTTTCACCAACAACATTATGAACCTCAGTACACTGGAATTCATTTCCCCCATCCACATAAATCTCAATCATGGATTTATGTTTTGAAGAATGAGCAATCAGTTCCATCACACCCACATCATCAACCAAAACCCTCAAAGCTTGTTTACCATTCACTCTGGGAATTCTGTAATATATATTTGTCCACGTGGTACACCCAAGTTTTTGAATTTGCTCTTCCAAATCGAAGTAACCAAATCTATCCACATCAAGACCATAAACTGTTTCAAAATCACCTCCTAAGTACTCTACATTGTCATCCATTATTATAAGTTTACCACCGTGGTTAACTAATAATGACAATTTATCCACCCTGCAGAGAAGACAATTTAAAGAACAAAAATCAAATCAAAAGTTGACACACACATCAACTCAATGCTCTCAGAACTTTGAAATTTGAATTTACAAAAAACACTACCTTAATAAACCCTAAATTGGAGAAAACACTACCTTAATAAACCCTAAATTGGAGAATCCCTAAAATTTTTAAAGAACCCTAGATTAAACCCGATTTGACAATCCCTAATTTATATCATAACTGCAGAATTTAAACCCTAATTTTAGCAATACAAGATGTGGACAAAAATTGATTAAAATAAAGTGAAAGAAAAAAGGTCGACAACGAAAAATACGGCTTACATTTTGTCGTCGGCCATTATTTACGATTGAAAGGGACCACAAAGGCGGGACAACACGACCACACGATTGATGAAATTGAGCGTAGTTGTCTCCAACTTTAGCGATTTTTTTCAGATGAAACTCACAGAATCTTCGTCGATTTGGTTGAAGTATTGGTTGAGAAGATCGTCGATTCAAAGAACCTTCGTTGATTTCGTTGGATTCATGGTTAAAGTTCTTTAGGGGCGAAATTTAGGGTTTGAGAAAATTTGGGAAAAATTTTGAAGAGATCGAAGATCGATTTGGGGAAAATTTTGGATTTTATATAGATTGTTGCCACGTGGAATCGGTTTTTAAAGTTAATGTAACAAGTATTTACACGTATGAAATGTTCAAGCCATGTCAGCAAGGGAAGCCCGATTTTTGGCCCGATGCATACAATTGCAAAAAATTATAAAAGTGATGTATAGATTTGCCAACTTTAAAAGTGGTGCATTAAATTGCAAATTTCGAAAAGGTCATGGTTTTATTTGCAATTAAGCCTTTAATAAATACACAATTATGCAGCTAAAAATTTTATAAATAAAATTAGCATGTGTCAATTATCGTTTAATTTTTTTTCATATTAATTTTTTTTTTCATAAGAGAATGATGAGGGTATATTATCACAATTGAACGTTGCGTTAGATAAAGTTAAACACACTTATTATAATGCATTAACTACTTTTTCCTTATCATATATCATAACGTTAATTATTTTTTTTAGATTTTATATAATATAATTTCAATGTTTTTTTTTTTGTATTACATTAAAAAAAAAATTCAAAGTGTTTTTATAAAAATTATATGGAATTATAATTCTCATTGGTTTCATGCAAAAATAAGTATATTTTAATATTACACTGAATTACAATTCTCATGGATTTTATGCAAAAAATAAATATTTTATTGACTTGAGCATTAATGATTACTGGAGTCTATTTATAACTTTATGAAAAATGATCAATCTTTCACATCATTCTCTAACCACCATCGCACTTATCTTGCCAAAAATAAAATAAAAAAAAAAATGTTGAGATTTATTTTGTTAATAAAAAAAGTAAAAAATTTGTGGACTTAATTTAAAAATAAATACATGCAAATAGAAGTTATTTTTAATTTGTTCTTAAGTATTTAATTTGTATTTATAAATTTGAATTTGCTCATTTTCATACATGTTAACGTTAATTATTCAATATAAGCTTATTTGCAGAATAGTAATTATGACTTTGTTTTCTTTTTTGAACTATGAAAATTATGTTATCACATATACAGTTTTATGAAAAAAATTTGAAGAAGTGTCATTAATGTGACAAATAATTTTTTTCATGGTATATCACATATTTTTGTACGCTTAAGAATTTAATTTTAAAACATTTAAGAAAAAAAGTATATTGGATTTTATAAAAATTTTTTTCATTGTTATTGTTTCTAGAGTCACGATCCATGTTTACTAATTATTGTTATTACAGTTAGTGATAACGAACACAGTTCATCTACTATTAATGCTATATTTGTGGAAGTACTTTTAAATGGATTAATAAAAAAATTATCCTACATTATATCAATTGATGCTTTTCAAAATATTTTTCTATTAAATTATCACTCATTTACACTATTTTTAATATCAAGCCGCGCATCGCGCAGGTCACATACTAGTATGTATATATAATTGCTAGCTAATCAATTAATTTTACCTAATAAATAAAATCTAATAAATTTTACCTAGCTGGCACTACACACATTTTCCCCCAAAATCGGTTACATTATTTATTTTGCTTTAATTAGCTTTTTATAATCAGAACTCTAAGGAATCTGTATTGAGAGAGCCTTTAAACATTTTAGTTGATGAAATTGAATTTTTTTTTACTGTATTTTCCCGCCAAAATCGAATTATTTGTTTCAGTTTTAGTTGATGAATGATTTGCATTTAAACGTAACTTTTGTCGAAAACAGAAAATGATTACTAATTCCTAAAATTTATAATTACTCAATACACAAAACTTAAATTACATATCAAATTAACATCAAGCAATAAAAAAAATTAACATTCCAGCGCCTTTATTATGAATTCTGCCTACAATATAGAAAAAGAAAATACATTAATAATTATAAAACTAATAATATCAATTAATTTATATTACATAATAAAATGAACAATTTAGCCCTATAGGAACATAATCTCTCATAAACTCAGGCAATATATAAACAAATTAATTATGAAATTAAAGCAGTCAATATCAAATCAAGAGGGAAGAAAATCAAATTATAAAAATAAAAAAAATGCATATTTTCATT